ACTTCTTGCAAGTGTGGACATGCATTATCAGGACTGAAATAAAGTCTTTTGGTGTGTGTTTGTGTAGGAAACAGAATCACAGAGAAGTCGCTGCCTCACTTTTTGGCGTCACTTCAAGCGCAGGGCAAGGGTGGAGGTCTGCTGCGTCTCTGTCTGCAGGTACGTAGCACTCACAGGGCACTCAAGTTGACACTGTACGAAACGTATTAGAGCCACATGAAGTTTTAAAAAAATAATTTTTTTTTTCTTTTCTTTTGCTTTTTGGAATTTTTGAGACTAAACGTGACATTTTAACATAAAAGTTGAATTTTGCAAATAAATCAGAAGATGACGTTTTTCTTTGTGTTTTGTGAATAAACTTTAAATGTCAGGAATAAAGTTGGCATTTGAAGGTGAATGTCAACTCTGACTCGCTCGCTTCATGCTCAGAATGCCAAAAATAGCACCTCCTTTCTGATCGCCACAAAAAATTGGACTTATTTTTTGACATTATTACTAAATGTTAAACTAAAAAACAAAGTAAAGCAAAAAGGCTTTCACATTTCAATTTTATTGATATGGCTCCAAGATCCTCCGCCTCTGTGTGTGGGCGTCTGTGCACAATTCCCCTGAACTGCATTTAGACAAAAAAATGACTTTAAAATCGTTCACAGCCGCTGTCATCACATTATTTATATTATATTATGTTTCAGCATTTATTAAAGTCTGTTTTGCTTTATTGCATCCTAGCTGAGTCTTTCATTAGTTGTTCCCATTTCATTCCATTTTACCTAAATATAAGTGCTGATTAATGTGAACATTATTTGCTATAATTTCTGATCTCTCTCTCTCTCTCTCTCTCTCTCTCTCTCTCTCTCTCTCACAGAGAAACATTTTCCCACCAGAAAATGAGCTTTACGTGAAGATAAAGGAAATGATGGCTGCCTCAGATCCAATGAAAAAAAATAACTCTGAAGAGGAGGGACTGGGAGAGTAGAGAGGCTGACAGAATGGGCCTTCACTTTGTCTTATAGCAACACAAATATGTGTATAATTGTATAATAATAATTTCAGCTGTTTGATTGATTGATTGATTGAATCTTTATTTTGAACATGTTGAAAAAGTATAAAAAAAAAAATAGAATTAAAAGAGACAAATGAACAAAGCAAACAAAAGGAAAACGAGCAACCACAACTCCAAATAACGTCCATGTTCAAAAAGGAGCAGGAAGAAGCATAAGCTTATTTAATCCCACCCCTTTTCCACTATCTAGTATCAATAGACTACAGAAATACCTCCTTGCAATTACATTATATGTTATGTGTAATTTTTTTTTTTTTTTTTAATATATACACATATATGTTTCTATCTATCCATACATACGTATATACACACATACGCACATATACACATTTTCAATAACCCCATTAATTATTTGTCAGAATTAATTAAAGAGAATAATATGAGTGAACAGGGCAGCCAATCAGAACTGCGTAGATTAATTGTTTTAGTTAAGTCACCTTACAGTTACCAGCCATCACTCAGGTGACATGCACATTAGGTTTATTGGTGGTTCTAAATTGGTTATGGATAGATGGACATTGGGAAATGCTAGTGTCTTTGAGTAATACAGATGTTCTGCTACAGACTGTTTGTCTCCTGGATTTTGATGTTTTTTTCTCCAGGATCTGAACCATTATGGCTTCAGAATATGGTTAGAGGGATTTATATGATTTGTATCTCCTGGAATCAAACTGTGTAATCCACTATCCTGTAGTGCTGGGCTTTTAATTAATTAATATTCCATTCCGGTCCCATCATCAAACTATTCATTATTTTCCCTAAAAATAAATAAATAAATAAATGTAAAAGTTCCAATTTTGGAGTTACAGCTCTTAATGCTTTTTTGTACTTTACCTTCCACATCTGCTCCAGGTGTTCCTATATTCTTTATTTTCCCCATCATCTTAAATTTATAGTCATATTAGTTTGCTTTCATTTTTCTGGTGTCTGCATCCCACAGTTTGACAACCGTTGCCTTGGATGGTTCTTCACATTTATGCCTCTTCTGATGCTGAAGGCACATCAGTGGTGTCATTCCCCGAGGTGCCACCAGGGGGCTGTCGAGGAAAATTAAAACATAAACTGACAAAGGTTTAATTATCGTAATTTACACTCAATCAGTCTAATACCTGGGAAATCTATACTATATTTTATTTGATTTGGGAATATCCATAACAAAATTGTACACTATGTTAAAAGCTAAATATTTTTTTTTACATATGATCAATAGTGTTTATTATTATTATTGCTATTATTATATTTATTATTACATATTATATGCGTTTGCCTTAAAAAGTTAAAGAAAATTTATCTTAAATAAATAAAGGCCTGAAAAGACTAAACAAGGCGGGTTTTCGACCTCTCCAAAATGGCTGCCATATCCTGATAAATTCGTCACGTCCGGCTAATGCTCAAAGGAGCTACCAATATGAACCTCTTGCTTCCGGTAATGCCTCCTTTTCGGCAGCGGCTATTTCCTCGCCAACATGCCAGTGAGTATAGACAGGCAGTATCGAAATGACATTTTTATAAGTTAACGGGCCTTCAGGGAGTCACCGCACGGCTCAACGTGTACATGAGAGACCGGCGATTCGATCGGTGCCGGTTTGAGACATATAGCCGGGTTTTGGACTGAGTTTGGCGGGACTAAATGTTCCCATTTGGGCGCATTTGCGAGCGCATTGTGATACAAGATGGCTGCGCACACACCGCAAACATGGAGCCAGTTCAACGACCGATGATACAGTCTCGAAAACCCAATATTCAGAGCTATATTTTCGCTTTGCTTGGTGTCTTTTAGAGTGGCCATCGACGTATTTTACCGAGGATGTTTGACTATTTGGGGAACAATTCGTGATCGATGTAAATGCGCACGTTGGGTTACCTAATCCAAGAAATGTAGGCCGATCGTGGAGCCTGAACGTGCACGTAGCACGAGCAAAACATGGCAACTGAAGCGTTTTTAAGCTAAATAATAAAGCTAAATGTCCCTGATAAAGCGCCCTTTCTTTTGAATTTGATAGCTTGGTATTTTTATTTAATTTTCTCTAATTGCTCTCTATGAGTTGAATAACGCTTACCCTCTTTTATTTCCTCATTTTCTTAAATCTTGTAGCTCGCAAAAGACTTGTTGCACCCGTCCCCTGAGGAGGAGAAGAGGAGGCACAAGAAGAAGCGTCTTGTTCAGAGTCCCAACTCTTACTTCATGGATGTAAAATGTCCAGGTACGCTTTCTGTACACACACACACAGGTCACCTGGGGTTTGAGTTTTACCTGTGAGCGTTTGCGGGGGTTTGAGTTTTGGATTATCGACCATTGTGATTGTTTTGCAGGATGCTACAAGATCACGACGGTGTTCAGCCATGCTCAGACAGTCGTGCTGTGTGTGGGCTGCTCTACAGTCCTGTGTCAGCCCACCGGAGGCAAAGCACGTCTCACAGAGGGTCAGTATTCATCTACAGCAGGGGTGTCCTCCGATGGCATTCAGTGGCCTGCTGATATAAACACAGACTGTATCATGCATTTTTTTAAAATCTATTTTGGGGGGTTTGTGGTAGAGGCAGAAATATCTAGAATGGGGATGATTTTTGCACTTTTAATGGGCATGCCACTAGACGAATTACAGGAAACGTGAGCCTCAGGCTGGGGTGTTCGTCCTGTCACCCATTTTTCCCCTGTGCCAGAACTTTAATACGCTTTTAGTGACTGAGGTTAGTCACACATCCAGACTCTGTTTTACTGGTAATACCAAATTCGTTATCAAAGTGATGCTGCTATGTGTTATTCCAAACTGGAATATAGTTACGACTGGAATAATTTCAGACATTTAAAGCCTGGAATAGCAGATAGGCTACAGAGCTATAGATGTCATCAAATAGCATTCAGAAAGTGCAGGACATCAACATCCAGGAGCTGATTTTGCTCTTTATGAAAAATAATGCTGTTGTCTTGTTTCTTACTGACAGAGGTGGGTGTCATTAATCTGGAAATGCCGATACAATTTTGTGTGTTGTTTCTAAATCATTATGACGTTTTGGCCGCACTGCTAAGTGACTGGACTTCCTCTGTCGTGGTCTTGCAGTCTCATTCCGGTGCCAGATCAACCTCAGTTTGCAGAAGGGTTGAGCTAGACTACTGGCTCCCCCCTTTCGAAGGCTGAGAACAGATTATTTACCGCCCTAAAGCTAGTGAGAGTGCAGATTTCAGGGTGGCTTGTTGAATTAGTGTACAGGGAATGGGGAAAATTAAAGCTGACCTAATCAGTCACATGACTGAAAGCAATGACTCTTGTATTGGTGCTGTGCAGCACAATGGCAGCATGCTATGCTCTGCATTAATCCTGTAGCCTGACTGTCATTGTCTCTTTTGGCAGGGTGCTCATTCAGGAGGAAGCAGCACTAGCTGTCCTCCCCGGAGCTGAAGGGGAGAGGAGGGGATGGACCGGTTGATATCAGCGCCTTCGAGACGGCAGCGGCGGCGGACCCTGCGGCCCGATCGGAAACGAGATCTGGAGGCTTAACGGGACAGCAGATGGATTTCCTCTGTTAATGTTGACAGATGGTTTGTTGCTGTAACTCCACCCTCCAACCCTGTCTCTCTAAATAAAATGTTGTTTTGGCTAAAGGAATGGTTTGTGTGTCGTTGTTGTTTTGTTATTTTAAGCTGGAAAATAAAGGTTGTGTTGTCACCTTTATGATAAAGTAGTTCAGGTTACGGTTGGATTTTTATTACAATAGCAAACTGCTGGACTTTATACACATTTTATTACACAATCAGAAAGATGCAGCATTTACAGAATAAAAGCTGGCTTAGTTTATGCATTTAGTGGAGCTAAAAGTATCTCCTGGTTATTTTGATCATGGACAACCTAAGAAGGTGAAATATTTCAGAAGTCCACATCTGATAAGTAAAATCTTCCTGCAATAAATTCAAATTAAGCTTATTGGGCAAAGACGGTTTAATTTTCATTTTTTTTTATTGCTGCCACAGTACTAACTTCTACATTTTAAAGTTATTTCTGCTACAGAAAATATATTTTAATACAATTATACATCTCTTTTCCCTTTCTCGTCAAGTCTGTTTAAGCTGCAGTAAAGGCAGATAACTTCTCAAGTGTCCTTAGAAGCCTTCGTCTGCCATCCCTCTACCTGTCTTCTCTGCTCACGCTTGCAATCTCCGTCTTCCCCTCCCTCTCCCTGAGCAGGTGGCGGATGGAGGAATTCTGTGTGGACAGTGTGCTGGAGAGGAGCGGCATCAGGCTCCTGAAGCCCTCCCTCAGCTCCTCCACACTCTTCTCCAGAGTGTGGATGTGTGTGTCCAGATCCCCCCTGCAGCCCTGCACCTCCGACAGCACGTCATACATCAGGTTCTGCATCTTCGTATAAATCGGTGCGCAGTTAGGGGAAAGAAAAGAAAATTGTATCAGCAATTAGATTCTTTTATTTCTTTTTTGGGGTGTTAGAAGGACACGTGTTGCCTGCACTTCCTCTCATACCTTGTTAAGGTCCACAAGTGTGTTCCCCTGGTCAGCAAGAATTCTCTTCTCCATCTTCACTTGCCGCAGCCTGGAGATAAAATTGCTTGGTTTTATGACATTGCTACTTTTTCATTTTAAGACGAGCAGTAATTTAAAGGGTCAGTCAGACACATGACCGGAGAAACAAGCCATAAACGCGACACGACGTCAACAGATTTTATGAGGACTTTGGTAGAGAGTAGCTCCCATAAAACAATTTAAAGGCATCTCTCTGGATTATGCAACGGCACCAAATGAAAATCTTCCAAATTTAGCAAGGAATGGTTGATATAAAAGTCAGCATAACTTGTGGCTTGAAGGAACAATTGCAGGCTAAAATGTACTGTAAGGCAAGGCAAGGCAAGTTTATTTGTATAGCACAATTCAACAACAAGGTGATTCAAAGTGCTTTACAGAGACATTAGAAACAAGAACAAATAAAAAGCATGATTTAAAATTGAATAAAACAAGCAAATAAACTAACTAACTAATTAACAAACAAACAAACAACAGTATATAAAATCAAAACAGATAAAATCAGAACAGTAGATAAAATCAGTAGTTAAATGTAAGTTTTGAAATTTAAGCTTAAAAGTGTGGATTTGGTGCTTTATTCAAATGCAGCTGAGAACAGGTGAGTCTTCAACCTGGATTTAAATAAACTGAGTGTTTCAGCTGATCTGAGGCTTTCTGGGAGTTTGTTCCAGATATAAGGAGCATAAAAGCTGAATGCAGCTTCTCCGTGTCTGGTTCTGACTCTGGGAACTGATAAAAGACCGGATCCAGATGACCTGAGGGATCTGGATGGTTCATACTGGGTCAGGAGGTCATTGATGTATTTTGGTCCTAAACCATTCAGAGCTTTATAGGCCAGCATCAGAACTTTAAAGTCTATCCTCTGACGGACAGGCAGCCAGTGTAAGGACCTCAGAGCTGGACTGATGTGGTCCACTTTTTTGGTCTTAGTGAGGACTCGAGCAGCAGAGTTCTGAATGAGCTGTAGTTGTCTGACTGATTTTTTAGGTAGACCTGTAAAGATGCTGTTACAGTAATCAAGCCTACTAAAGATGAATGCATGGACTAGTTTTTCCAGGTCCTGTTGAGACATCAGATCTTTTATCCTTGATATATTCTTGAGGTGATAGTAAGCTGACTTTGTTATTGTCTTAATGTGTTTTTCTAAGTTTAGGTCTGCATCCATCACTACACCCAAATTTCTCGCCTGGTTTGTGGTTTTTAGATGTATAGATTGAAGTTCTCTGGTGACCTGTAATCGTTTTTCTTTGGCGCCAAAGACTATTACCTCAGTTTTGTTTTTGTTTAGCTGGAGAAAATTGTGGCACAACCAGTCATTAATTTCCTCAATGCATTTACCAAGAGCCTGTACAGGGCCTCGGTCTCCTGGTGACATTGTGATATATATTTGTGTGTCATCTGCATAGCTGTGATAGTTTATTTTGTTGTTGTTTATAATCTGTGCCAGTGGGAGCATGTAGATGTTAAACAGAAGGGGTCCCAAGATGGAACCTTGGGGAACTCCACATGTGATACTTGTCTGCTCAGATGTGAAGTTACCTATTGATACAAAGTATTTCCTGTTTTCTACGTATGTTTTGAACCAGTTTAGTACAGTTCCTGAAAGACCTGTCCAGTTCTCCAGTCGTTTGAGTAATATGTTGTGGTCAACTGTATCAAATGCTGCACTGAGATCCAGTAAAACTAGGACTGTAATTGCAGCAGTAGACAAGAGTGATATAGTAGTAATCAAGTGGCTTTTATTTAGAAGAAATATCTTCTTATAAGGTGTGGCGGAAAATCCCCAAGTGACAAAGCTGAACTTTTGCCTTTCAGAGACAATGTATATGGACACAAATGGCACCACTCCTTGGTTTTCACTTCATTTTGGTTGTTTCCATTTTTTACACGGGCTGGGCATCTAATTTAAATGACCTTTCATTGAATTCATACCTTAAATTTGTCATTTGCTTCAGATGACTATGTAGGAGAAGACGTGACTTTAAAGGACTCGATTCAAACTGGGCGGTTCATTAGAAATCCTAAATCTGTTTTACAGTTAGGGCCGAGATTTTTTGATAATGACACAGTTTGTATAGTTTTGCCTCTGTACATCACCACAGTGGATTTAAAACCAAATAAAGTGTGACTGAAGTGCAGATTTTTAGCTTAAAATCAAACTATTTTGTACACAGTCACCCGTTTTCAGTCCAAGAATTATTGGTCAACTATAAGTTTTAAATAAAAACATTGTTTTTAATACCTTTCATACTTATCAAACATTGTTGATTCTGTTCATCTGGACGTAGCGTTTTCAGTGGGAAAAGCCTTTCGTCACTCATCCAAGTGACTTCTTCAGTCTCATCTTATAAACAGTACATTTGCACAATGATCAAAACCAGCCCACTGAATGAACAATGGGCTGTGAGGCCGGTTCCTTGATCATTAAAATGCAAATTGTCATGACCATTGATCGACGCTACGTCCAGATGAACAGAATCAACCTTGTGGGATTTACTTACCTGGATGTTTGAGCATGCATCAAGACATTGTTTTTAATACTTGTGGAAGTCGCTTGTGAGTCTCTCGGCCTTCGATTTTGCGTGCAATAACTGAAAAGCATGCTCTGTTGGGTAGAGATCAGGTGACTGGCTTGGTCATTGAAGAATATCCCATTTCGTTGCTTTGAGAAACTGCAAAATTGCTTTTGGAGCTTCCTCTGGCTCATTATCGATTTGCACTGCAAGGCACTGTCTGATCAGCTTTGCAGCATTTAGCTGAGTCTGAGCAGAGAGTACATCTCTGCACACTTCATCTGTACATTATCAGTGTAACCAGTGACCCGGTTACACTGGCAGCCATACATGCCCATGCTGTAACTCTTCCTCCAGCCTGTCAGACAGATCACGCTATATGCTTCGGATTCGTCTTGGCTTCATCTGTCCTAAGAATTGTTTCAGAGCTGTGCAGCTGCTTTTAGATGTTTTCTGAGTCTAATCTGGTTTTCCTATTGAAAACTGTGGTTAGCGCCTTGTTCTAAACCCTCTGTATTTACATTTGTAAAATAGTCTCTTGATTGTAGACTTTGAGACTGATGCAACTGCCTTCTCCAGAGTGTTCTTAACTCGGTTAGGTGTTGTGTTGGAGTTGTTTTAAACGAAGGAAATTAATTTGTGATCATGCACCCAAGTGCTGTGGTCTGTTAGGCCCTTTGGTGCTGCTGAGCTGACCAGCACTTTCCTCCTTTTTCACAATGCACCACGTTGTTGATTTGGCCACTCCTAAAGTCTTTGCAATCTCTTTGCTTACATTTTTTTTTCTTTTGCCTAATAATGACCTCCCTCACTTGCACTGACATCTCTTTGGGCTTCATGTTTAAAATTACAAGTTCAGCACTTTGAATCAACTTCAGATATTATGTTTGCTTTATTTTTCGCTGAATGACGAGGGAACAGGCTTCACCTGGCCATAAAGCTTCTTATCAGTCAACTGTCCAGTTACTTTTTGAGCCTCTGAAAATGGTGAACGGTGCATAAAAACAACTGTGATTCCTAAACAGATTTTAATACTTTTGTAAAACCTCTTGTATGAAAGCTTAAAGTCTTCAATCACATCTATGATTTGAAACTGTGTCCAACCATTTATGGAATTATGGACCTAATACTATATTAGAGAGAATGAGGAAGGCTGGAGGAGGAAAGTAGATCTATTCATTTTTTAATGGCACATAATTTAAAATGAATTTAAAATGAGCGGCAATCAATCATTTCAGGCAGTGATTGATAAAGAGGTTATTATTATTATGTGTGGGTTAAGTGCCTTACTGGTGGATGGCCAGGAGCAGCTTCCGCTGGTGCATGCGGACTTTGGTGTGGTCTTTTAACAGCTTAGTGTGCTTGTAGATAAGCCAAGTCTCTCTCAGCACATTCGCTGCAGCAATTTTTATCTGGTGAAAAGAAGAAAAATCACGAGGAGAGTTATTGTATGTTTATGCACAAAATCTTAAGAGTGCTGTTATTTACAGCACATGCTGAAAAACGCTGAAAAACGCTGACAAAAGCTGGAACGAATCCCAGTGCACCATGAGGAAATTTTTAAAATCGAAAATGAGGAAAAAATCGAGTGAGCCAATTCCTCCATTTTCCAAAATGCTTTTTGAAAAAAAAAACTTTATTCATTTAGTATCCATACAGAACAGGAAAAAAATAATGCCAATCATAGCAAACTGATTTTATTGGAAGATGATGCCACTCGTTTTGAAGATTTTAAGTCAGATTTGTTTTCTGGCATTCAAAAAGTCCTGGATTTTGAGTAAAATAAGTCAATATGTGGTATCTGATATCAAATCCTGCATGGTACGGTGTACAAACAGGAAAGAAGTGAAGCCTTTGAATAATATCTCTTACTTTTGGACATGTTTAATCATCAATAACAATTTTTAAAAAAGGAGATACTAGTGTTCACCCTCTTGGAGATGTGTGAGTCCATCATGAAATTGTGAACATGTTTCTCCGCCCTGGTCAGCTCCAGCTTCCTGGCAACCACTGCCACCACCAACACTGTGCAGCCGGCTCCCTGCAGGAGTCACAAACGTTTAAACGTTCAGATTGAGATTTGCATTCAGAGTCAGCGCTCGCTCGTTACAGAGACAACTATCCACCCTCTGCCTCACCATTATCCCTGTGAGAAGGCAAATGCTGCGTCCACAGTAAGTGTGGGGGACCACATCTCCATACCCGATAGACAAGAAGGTGACGGAGACCATCCACAGGGCCTCCATGTAGTTGCTACTCAGGTCCCTGTAGTTGTGGTGTCTGCAGAAATAAAACAATCTACTCACACTGATATCTGTGCACAATCCCCTGTTTTTTATCCTAGATTTACATATAAATATATACTGGTATATATATTTTTTGAACCTCTGAATTTATGTTGCATTTTACCAAAAAATACTACTTTTCATAAGGCTTATGTCTACGTGGGTTCACAATCCCGCATGTTATGGTATTCTTAAGTGCTTGAAAAGAAGGCAACTGGACTTCTTGGTTCATGAAGACATTTAGACTCTCATGTTGGAGGGTATTTCACCACTAAATAACTGACAGAGAATCCCAGATATTTAAATCCTACTAGGAGGTGTCCTGTTGGTGGTTGTCCTGATGGTGGTTGAGCCAATCATGGGTGTTGTCACATGAGCTAAGGTGTGAAAAAAGGCCAGGGTTAAGGTGTAAAACGTCGCAGTATCAGGTTAACGGTCACATGTGGGAAGGTGTGAGTAGTGCTTGAACTGCCTAAGAAGGGATGTCAAGACTGTATTTTAGGTGGCTGATACCTGGTGTCAGCCACCACCTTTGATCAGCGATAGTTATTCACAGTAGATGGCCTCCTTTAGAGGTAGAGGTCCCAGGAATCGTCAGTGCACTGTACAGCAAACACTGCGCTGTTCAGTTTGTGTTTGAGTGCTGAGATGCACACCGGCGTATTACCTGGTCTGAAGTACACTGGGGCAGTGATGTTGTTCCATCTGTCATCCTGTTTCTCCTGCGTTGGTTTCTGAGGTTTTTTCCTTGCCATCTCCATCAATTTAACGAAGGCCTGGTTAGGATAACCACATGTTTAAGAGCTTTCATTATGTGTGTACATCCCTTTTTTGTCCACGCTGCCTCAGAGGGGTTGCAGGCTCACCCCATGTAGGTGGTTGCAGTCAAAGAGCAGGTCATGGTCTGTGTTGAGGTTTCCATCCACCTTCATGAGCACAGCAGAGTCTAGGAATGGTAACTTATCATCCTTGGTATCCTCCCAGGTGAAGTTAATGTTTCTGTTCACTCTTCTTCTTCAGTTTCAATTTTGATCCAGCTGCCAACCACATATCGGAACCAGTGAGTAGCTTGTGGTTGTCCCTCTGAAAGAGCCCGAATCTTCCTCCATGTAAAGGTAATGGTGACACTGGGAATAGCACTTTCATGTTTTTGTCTGTAGAAAGAGGCAGAGGTCTAATGGGGTGCAGATCTGATCGTTTTGGACAGATGGTTTGAGGGAAGAGTAAAGGAGGCCCACTGTGAACGACACCAGCTATCAGCCACCTACAATGCAGTCTTGAGACCCCTCCCCCAGGCTTTTCTGCCTCCGCACTCACATCTTGCCTCAGTTGACCTCAATAGCTCACATGATGGTGGCGTGTCTTACAGAGGTTTGCACCTCAGAACTGCAGACACCTCTTGTACGCGAGGCGAAATGTCCTCACGTCTTCAAGATCACTATCATATTCAAAATTAGCAGCATCATAGATTAGCTGATATTTAATCTTGTCAATATCATGCAGCCTGCACAGATAAGGAACAGTGGAAGAAAATTGGATTTGCTGCTGCCAGTGGGAAGATTTTACTACTACTCTTTATCTGCCAGAAGTTGGGCGAAAATGAAACGTTAGATATCCCAGAGAGCCGGAGCCAGTCTACAAATATCCTGACATACCTCTCGCAGACATGTAAGCCCCATGCCGCCACAATCCACAGAGAAACACTGAAAATCATCAGCACGGTCCCGGGGTAGGTGGTCATCAGTGTTTTCCCCACAAACCGGGTGTTGAAGTGTATCTGAAGATCACAAACGGGATACGTTACATCATAATTTGACATTAGGGGCCTACTTAACCAAACTATTTAGGATAGCACCTGTCAGATTATGATTATATAATACAGAGGACATGAGGGATAAGAAAACTTGTTCTCAATCTGGCTTGACACATGGATAGTAGGTTTGGTATTGCAGAAGCAGGGGACAGAGGTTGTTTTCATCACTCTTAAATAGCATTAGTAAGGGAAGGGATTAGGCAGGTGGGTATTATCAACTGTGGAAAAGAAAAGCAGACAAGTAAAGGAGAGCTAGAGAGGGACATAGCCAACATGTGAAACCACAGGGGTTCATTGGGGCAAAACTGTGATAATCACACCTCAAGTGTCACACCTCTACAGACCTCTCGGCCCACCTAGACATAAGACATAAAGAGATGTGCATGAAATGTTTATAAAAGGAAGCCCAGACCCAAATCATTATCCAAAATATAGACTTAAAATTCCACGAATCCTGCTCCAAAGCCTAGAATTTCTCTCCTTCCTTCGATTTATATGCGTTATGATCTCATCACAGTACTATCCAAGCCAGATAAGCCCAAAGCCAGATTCTGCAGGGGGAGCCCAAAGGTGACTTCCCACCTTGTTCAGCGCCCCAATACTGCGAGAGGCCGTGTCTGTGAAGAGGCGGCTGTGCAGCATCATTGCCCGACCGAGCAGGTAGAGCCTCAGGAACATGGGCAGAGCCAGGACGATCTCCAGCTCTGTCTCTGACAGTGTCATGCGGGTCTTGACCTGCAGGAAGTAGGCCTGCAGACCCACTGGATAAGGATGAATGGCCACCACTGCCAGCTCCAGGACTATCAGAGCCAAACGGTCCGTTGTCATGGCAATCCGCCAATCCTCTGCACCAATATCATGAACGTAGAGCTGCCAGGGGGATCAGAAGAGTGCATTAGTGTGCAAGCGATTTCTGTGAAGAACTGTGCACAGTTTGTGGATCACAGCACAGAACGAACTATAAAATTATATTTACTGTCTTTTCTCTGAGTCAGACTTCTAAAAATACTTAAGATGAATAATCTGAGACTCAAAATCACCATTTGGTTTTATTATTTTAGGCATCACGAACTATAAAGGCTGCTGATTGGTTGCAAAGACAAATTTCCAAATGTAAAGAACAAGTTACCTGCACCTCACACCAGTGATATGCTATGATGAGGCCAATCAGGATGAGTGTAGTAAAACTGATGACTGACTTGAGTGCCAGGGAGTAGATGGAGCTCTGTGGGTGACACACACAAATATGACATCTCTGTCAGCTGATGACCTTCATTATGAAGTTCAGGCTATGAAAAGATATCAACAGTCATAATCTTATATCCATGTATGTGCATAACCACATGCTTGATCTTCCTGTGCATGTTTTCTATAACACTTTTACAACTCTTTTACAGGCTAGAGTTCCCGCCCACCCCCACACTCCCTTCCTCTCTGACCTTGCTGTAGATGCTCCAGGAGAGCTCCGTCTCCATCACCATCACCACAACACCGAATATCCCCACCGCCAGGGCGCAGTCGTTCAGGCGTTGCCTCCTCAGAAACAGTGCCCTCCTGCGAACCAGCCGCCAGCCGATGTTGTGGGACCTCCGGTACCGGTCGTCGTCGTCATCGGTTTTGTGCTTTGGGCTGGTCTTAGGGCTGCAAGTGGGGCTCGTGCTGGGGCACTCAGCTCCTGGCAGCAGGCCTTTTGCCTCACACGGATCCTGACGATGTTCGGTCTCCTTGTTGTGTTGCTGGGGGTTGTCGTCCTTGCTGGTTATTATTATCTCTGGAAGACTCTGGCGGTCTTGCATCTCCACAGAAACGTTACCAGACTTGCGTTGACCTTGACCGTCGACATCCCTGATTTCTCGGGGTGACCTGCAGGGGCCCTCAAAGGGTGACCCACAGCGAGCAATCGGCACATCAGTGAAAGATGTGACTTTTTCCTGCAGTCTGTGGCATCCTGAGAGTTTGCCTTTGCACTGGTGGTTTCGGTCTTTTTGACCTGGCCTACTCCCCCCTGACCTTTTCTCACCCTTCTTCTCTTTCCCTTTGGATTTGTCTCCCCTTTTGTTGCAGCGAGGAGATGGCGTGACATAAAGGTGGCCGTTGTATAAAGGTGTGGTGGCCATGGCCTGGGTTCTGTCCAGCCACACGGGGTGCTCGGCTGCTGTTTGGACCGTGTGGTGAATCCCACATAGAGGGGCACACGCCTGGGGCTGAGGAACCATCCTCGGTGGCAGGATGGGGCGCTGGACATCCACCTCATCTCCATCTACCATTGAGGAGGTCATGGAAGGGGGATGCTCCATGATGAGAAGGCTAAACAGTCTTTGAAAGAGGGTTAGAGAGACAGATGACGATGTTAGACAACATGGGAAACCACTGAATGCGGTTTGAAAAGAAGCTTCAGTCACGGGAAGCTTAGTGAAGAGATTTTATTATGGTTTTTACATTTGTTGTATTCACATGATCATCATAGAGAATAACTAAAAAAGCAACAAAACTATAATTTTTTTAAAACATAAAGTAATCAAAATGCACTAGTTGTGTAAGCTCCAAATGTTTTCCTTTCACATATTTTGTTCTTACCTTTCGGGTCAGTGTTCCCAGTCTGTAGCCAATCCACTGCAAGGATGAAAAAAGGCCTTAAGTCTGAGTTTAATCTGTTTATTTCCCTCCTGGTATTTCAGAGTTGCATCTCAAGGTCCTGAAGGTCACATGTGCTTAAATCACAGAGATCCTAAAGTGAATATCCAATATTCAGATCATTAAAAATTTCAGGCTGGAACACCAGTGAGCCGTGGTTTGTTCGGATCAGAATATTCCAAACGTCCGTACTCTTCACGCAGTCTACGAACTTCCCAGAAATCCATCAGCAGCCTCAGCATCACGGAGCTCCTCCCATAAATTTAAGTGAAGTTTATGAACTCCTGCATATGACGACATATACCCACAGATATCCATTACATTTTCAGGCTTTTATTCCCGTGTTCGACCGCGTTTCCCACTGCGTTAATGTCCGCTGTCAGGGCATCTTCCTCAAAGCTGGAGGGGCTTAATGACCGCAAAGTCTCTAAGTTGCAGATGTTGTGTGGAGCAAAGGCAAAGAAAGAGTCATCTGTCATCAGAGCTTTTTTTTTTTTTTTTAGCTGGAATTGACAGACTTCATCCTCCCTATATTTGTGTGTGTGTGTCTGTGTGTGTGTGTGTAAGAGGGAGCGAGAAAGGCTGCTTAAATATAGGTGGCCTAGTGTCATAAATAAGCCTGAAATTATTTAAAAGTCATAAGAAATGAGACTTCATTAATTGGTATCATTATAGTGAAGGGAGGAGTGTGTTATGCAATCTTTTTTTTCAGAATAAATCTAATCTTCAAAATGGAATAACAGTCAATTTGAAATCAGACAGAAGATTAGATTTGAAGATTAATCAAGCGAGACACAGATCTGCTGCTTATGAGCTTATGAAATATCAAATATGTCACTTCTGAATCGAACAATATGCACAGAGCACAGTGAAGTATTAAGTATTAAAGTCATAACAATGACATTCGGCGTCATCTAAATCCTTGTGACAGATGGGTCTGCAGATAATAGACCTCCCTCCAAATGGAAAGACCCAAGGAGCAAAGTGTGGGCGGAGCGCATCCGGATAGTGGCAGGATAAAGAACGGCATTATCTAATCTGAAGACAACATGTATTTGAAGACGGCCTGAAACACAAGAACGGTGTTGCTCTTGGTGCGGAGGGGGAGTGACAATATAGCCCTGGTCTGATCATCCATTCTGAAAATGTACTTCTTTATTATACATCTGCCCAGATGTAAAATAGATTAATGCTGCTAAAACTACTCTGCTTAACTCTTAGCCAGAGACTTAGACAGATGCTGCTGTCTGGATTTCTTTGTTTTGATTTTCTGCAGGCAGTGAGTTCCCGGTTGCCTGAGCCCCGGTGCATGACTGTCAGCACTAAACTGCCTTTGCAGATGGTTTGTGGTGAATACAGCCTGCACCTGACGCACTCGGAGGGGAAATGACTCCAAAACATCCTAAATATGACTGTTTGGTTGGATTAAACAGAGCAAAACTGGTTCGGGAGACAATACAAAAGTTCTCAAATTATGTTGTCGTTTTAATAACAGGCTGCTGAAAGGATATATGCACATCTGCAAGGCTTCAAATTAATTCAAGCTTGCTGCCAAGTGCTTATAAATCCTGTCCGCTCTAGCTGGTAGCTAAGTATGTCAATTCTTCTTGCCTGTGTGGCCAGTAGCCAGCACATCTTCAATTAGTCGCTTCTCCTGCAAATCATCCTTTGGTTGTTAAGAAAGTGAAACCAAGCTGGGGAATTTGGAGTGCATTAATTGCTCTGGATGGTAAATGGCAAATCTGCATCGTGGCCTGAATCTTTTAGTGAGTGGGAGTTCATCCTCTGGACAGGATATTAATTACTTAAGTCTCATCTGTTGGGAAACATTAGTTAACCTAAGATGCACACATCGGGCATACAGTTTTATTCTCAAGGTTAAACATCTTGTTTATGGTTATAGAGTCTGACATTTACTTTAATACTAGCCACTTTATTAGGTTCACTTGTTAAACTGCTGCTTAAAATAAATATCAGCTAATCAAATGGCAGCAAGTCAATGCATTTAGGCAACTAGACATCATCAAAATGATCTGCAGAAGTTAAATCTGTGTATGAGAATGGGAAGAAAGGTGATTCCAGTACATGTGATATGTTTTTTTTAGCACCAGATGGGAAGGTCTGAGTATTTTAGAAACTGCTGATATGCTGGGATTTTCCCTCACAATCATCTCTAGGGTTTACAGAAAATTATCAAAAAAGAGAAACTATCTGGTGAGCAGCAGATCAGGTCAGAGGAGAATGGGCAGACTGCTTCGACCTATTAGGAAGGCAACAGAAACTCAAATAGCCATAATCCAAAAAGTTGCATTACATCACACTCACTATTCAGCCGAGTATTCTTAGCTGTTGAAATGTTTCCTGCCGGCAAACACTGGAATATGTTTGCACATTTGTTCCCTGTTGTGAACAGCCCTCCTTTACTTTGTAACCACTGCAGCATATAAAGACAAACAATTGCTGTCAGATCAGCTTCAGCCCCTTAACTCAGTCATTCTGTGCCAAACTGTTTTGCTCTGAACTTACCACTTACAATCAGCGGCGCAGTTTGGACTGAATTTGCATAAATGTCACCCACACACAAAGAAATTACAGGTTTTAGTCCTCCAGTTAATGGCCTGAGAGATGAATAAAAGGTATGAATGAAACATACCTGAAACAGCAGCATGCTGGGCGGCTCAGGAAGGAAACGCTTATAGATGTGGTTAATATATCCTGAATAATCTTTTGACTAATCTAAACATGAAGACATTTAAAGCCTCTCAAGTGATCTAATCGTTTTCCTTTAGCAAGTTAGTCAGTCTGAGATGAGCATTGCTGTGTCTTTATGTCTTTATAGGTGGACAATCTTTCCAGTAGTGCGGTCTTAAGCGAGTCCATACACAGCCCAAGAATCATTTCATTTAACAGTAAGTAAAAACAAAAACACAATATGTTTATCCTTTATTACTCTATTAGGTACACCTGTGGAAAGGTTTTTGGTGCCAGACGGGTCGGTGAGTTCACTGTATTCAAATGTCCTCCACAGTCACAAGATCTTAGTCCAATAGAGCACCTTCAGGATGTGGTGGAACAAAAGATTAAAATGTTGGATGTGCAGCAAACAAATCTGCAGCAACTGTGCTACGAATTAAAGAAGTTTTAAGGGCAAAAGGACGCCCAATCCAGTACTACAGAGCTGCACCTAATAAAGTGTCCAGTTAGTGTATATTTAAATGGACAACATATGATATTGGGCAAACCTGTATTATATTACATGGCAATTATTTATTTTAGAAACTTCAGAATAACAGTACTGAAGAGTAGAAAAATACTAACCCCACTAAGATCAGCAAAAGGTAAAATGTATTAAAAAGAAGCACAATCTACAGAAAAAATGACCCAGAAAATAAGGAGATATTTAAAAGATGTTTTTGACAAAGGATAGATGTTGTATGATGTAAATATCAAGCCAAAAACCCCTGAGTGATAGAGCTGTGATATTTAAAATTAATAGAACTTACACAGTTATCATTTTTTTTATATTTCCTCTAGTTTTACTGAAAAGTGCCAATCAACTCACTCATTCATATACCGGTATTACTTTAGTTGCTATTACTGTGCTATGGTTTTGCTACAAAACAGGTTTTTTTTTAGTAGTGACACTAGCCAAAGAAATGGAAGCCCTCTGCTACTTTGTCCAGAGTTAAGAACTGAGCTGGTGACAAAGGGTAACCCTGGAAAAGTCAAACATCATTGATTGATCAATAATTGTACTAAAGTTTGTTGACACAGGTTGCCAGTGGTGGAAATGTGCATTTTGGCATTTTATGGTATGGTATGCTAGTTTATTGTTTTTCCATGAGGACTGTAGAGGTCTGTGAATTTCAATCGGCAACTGCCTGCATGAGGTTTGGTCCGGCTCCTGAAATTCAGAGAAATGATCTCTAATTGAAAAGCACTGCACATGTTTGAATAACCATTTCATTATTAAAACACCTTCATTGTCCAATTGGGGTTTTACATTTTGTCGAGTGAGAAAGTACAAAGCCTGCCCTTGTAATCAGAGATCACCCAACGTCTGGCTTAAACCCACAACTCTGAGATTAAGAGTCTCATGCTCTACCACCTGAGCTAACTGGGCTATGTCATAATATAATAAATGCAATTATTCCATCTGAAATATGTTTTTCAGAATGCACTCTACTTACAAAACTCAGTAGTTTGTATGACCCACATGCTTGTATGCATGCCTCACAATTTTCCATCTGAAATATGTTTTATGATTTTTAGGGGGGAGGCTAAAATTATTCATTGGTCATTGATATTAGATTAAACTCCAAATACTGTGTAAAAGATAATGAGGTAGTTAGTTCAAATTTAAAAAGCTAACATAGTTCTTTGGAACAAAAATATATTTTTAGCATGGCATGTTTGATGATGGCAATTTTTATTTTATGAAATAAGCAATACAGTGGGGCAAAAAAGTATTTAGTCAGCCACCGATTGTGCAAGTTCCCCCACCTAAAATGATGACAGAGGTCAGTAATTTGCACCAGAGGTACACTTCAACTGTGAGAGACAGAATGTGAAAAAAAAATCCATGAATTCACATGGTAGGATTTGTAAAGAATTTATTCGTAAATCAGGGTGGAAAATAAGTATTTGGTCAATAACAAAAATACAACTCAATACTTTGTAACATAACCTTTGTTGGCAATAACAGAGGTCAAACGTTTACTATAGGTCTTTACCAGGTTTGCACACACAGTAGCTGGTATTTTGGCCCATTCCTCCATGCAGATCTTCTCGAGAGCAGTGATGTTTTGGGGCTGTCGCCAAGCAACACGGACTTTCAACTCCCGCCACAGATTTTCTATGGGGTTGAGATCTGGAGACTGGCTAGGCCACTCCAGGACTTTCAAATGCTTCTTACGGAGCCACTCCTTTGTTGCCCGGGCGGTGTGTTTTGGATCATTGTCATGTTGGAAGACCCAGCCTCGTTTCATCTTCAAAGTTCTCACTGATGGAAGGAGGTTTTGGCTCAAAATCTCACGATACATGGCCCCATTCATTCTGTCCTTAACACGGATCAGTCGTCCTGTCCCCTTGGCAGAAAAACAGCCCCATAGCATGATGTTTCCACCCCCATGCTTCACAGTAGGTATGGTGTTCTTGGGATGCGACTCAGTATTCTTCTTCCTCCAAACACGACGAGTTGAGTTTATACCAAAAAGTTCTACTTTGGTTTCATCTGACCACATGACATTCTCCCAATCCTCTGCTGTATCATCCATGTGCTCTCTGGCAAACTTCAGACGGGCCTGGACATGCACTGGCTTCAGCAGCGGAACACGTCTGGCACTGCGGGATTTGATTCCCTGCCGTTGTAGTGTGTTACTGATGGTGACCTTTGTTACTTTGGTCCCAGCTCTCTGCAG